CTCATTGGATTCATATGTTCACCATGTAGGGCAATACCCAAAAGAGATGGCACAAAAGAGGCAGCCATCCATTACCAGCATGTGATTAAGAGTCGGCTTCACTGTGTGATGACAGAAACCAAAACCAGGCCATGAGTGAGTCCTTTGTTCTGACATATATAATGAGGTTCTCCATCTTCAGACTTTGTTTCTGACAGCAGGTTTATGTAACAGTTGGGCATCGTTTTATGAACTCAACATCAGACAAATGCTGGACTAAAAGACTTTCCTGATGAACGTTTGGGGAAGCAGAGAGGTCTTACCAGACCTGAAAAACATTATTACCATCTGTGATCAATAAAACATCTTTGATCGTCCTTTTTTTTTTCCCGTACCAGGCTGATATTTTTCATCACTAAGTTTGGGGAAATATCAGACAGCTCGTTACAAAAAAGTAACGGTGCTGACACTTGCTGGTTAGAACACAACAAAAACACGTCAATAACATCTGTAGATGTTTGGGATGTGTTTTAACTCGGGGGCTCTGTGCTCTGATCTGAAGTCATACTGTGAAGAAAAACGGATTTCCACAATTTCACAATCAGGAAAGAGGTTTTATTACTAATACTTATTTTGCACAAGCTTCTACATGTGTTAATATCTGTCTTTATATAATTTGTGGTTCATTTAAAATTTTTAATTTATGTTCTAATCTTTATTCTCAAAATCTTCCAGGAACTCTTAGATACTTCATTATGTGTCACTGATCTGATTATAAAAACTTGGAGTAAACACCACGTGTGACAAAAGACTTAATATTGAGCAACTTCATATGTACATGTTTTATCTTAATGTGCTGGCAAAAGAAGAACTGTGTTTTATACCACAAAAGAAGAAATTTATTGAACAAATTGTGCAAACACAGCCTGTGGGCTCTTAATCTTCTGAGCCCTCTGTGCCCAGAATTAATGTGCGTCACAAAGGAGAAAGAAAAACTTTCTGAGAAACAGTAAATGCAGACATGATGAAAATCCAAGACTAATACAGGATGCACATATCCTGGCAGTGACACTTCAGCTGTGCCTCACTGCACATCATCACTGCTGACTGCTCTTCATTTTCTTTTTGACACACAGCCTTTTTTTTTTCTCACTAGGGATTGCCTTTTATGAATTAAAACATAAATTCCTATTGGAATACAGCCAGTGACTTACTCTGGTGGTACTCTTAGAAAAACCATGGATTGAGCATCACAAATTTCCATCCTGACCTCTCACCTCCCACCCCCAGTGGAGGCAGATGGCTGCCCCTTCTGACTGGTTCCCTAAAGAGTGCTTTTCCTCTTCTTCCTCACCCAACACTGTGTACGCTCCGAATGGAAGGGATTGAATCAAAGAAAGGAAATCTGTTAGTCTTCACTATCAAAAACGGCATTTTATAAATACAATGGGATTGAACTAGATTGAAATGAAGTATATTAATTCTAAATTAAACTGGATTTACACGTAATTAGAATCTTATAATATAAATCTTATCTTGGCCTCATCCCAGCTGTCTTGGACTTATAAATAAATTGCACTTTAATTTGTTTAAATTGAAAATCATGGAAATAAAATGTGGTGCTTTATTTAAATGAKCTGAACTAGGTTGCRTGTTCTCTCCATGCATGCATGRGTTTTCTCCGTGTRCTCCGGTTTCCTCCCATAGACCAAAAACATGAATGTTCGGCTAGYTGGTAACTCTAAATTGTCCCTACWTGAGAGAGTGAATGCTTGTTTGTCTCTATGTGGCCCTGTGATGGGTTTGTGACCTGTCCAGGCTGCACCCCGCCCCTCGCACTGTGACTGCTGGATGTGGGCACCAGTGACCCTGAAAGGAAGAAGCAGTTAAAACATAATGGATGGATAGATGGGTGGATGAATTGAATCACATACTGAAATTGTGCAAACAATTCTATAATGATTAATAACCTAAAGCAGATGACAGTAGAAATGAAGAAGCCAGGAAACTAACTTTTTGATTACAACAAATACCACCGAATTTCAAGTGTTCCCTTTAGACGGATAACTGAGTGACGTCTATACTTAGAATTTAATCACTTTGTAGCATTCCCATGGTTAAACAGCAGGTCAGAAACAGTCCTGTCATACGATCGCACATCTTTGTTTCGTGTCTCTTGTTGCATTTCATCCAAGTCTCTATAAATCTAAAAATCCTTCACATGAAAAGTCTKTCCAAGCTGGACCAATTCTGTACCATTTAAAAAAAGATATTATCTGGTATCTACAAATGAGACTACTAGTAAGTCAACCTAACCTCAATAATAAAATTCTCTGCATTAAATTTGACTGAGAATACCATAGGCATAGCCACAAATACACATGGTTCCCTCTAATGATGCAAAACTACACGAGAGCTCAGTGGACTCTTGGCAGTTTTCACTTTTCCACTCAGCAAAACAGTATTGTATATTTAAATATCAAGTTATTGTCAAACACTGTGTGATTTAGAGACTCTCGTCGAGTATTTTTGTCCTGATTTTTGCTGCTGAGCTAAATTGTTTCTAAGCTTGGTCAAGCTTCTGTAAAAGAAACCGCAACTGTCAAATTTAACGTTTAAACAAAGGTCAAAGAAACATCAAAACCACTGGAGTTCATCAGAAAACCACAAACTACTGTACAAGATTTAACACCAATCAATCACGTTTCGAGGGAAATTCAGACAAAAACAGAAATGTCACCATTAGTTGAAGGAAAATATGTGGATCACTGCTGTCGCTGGAGTTCATCCCTTCCATCTACGTTATATTAAAAGTTTGTCTCATTAGGATTTATCCAGTAAATGTCTCAAAACTGAAAACCCACTTCATCTTATCATTGAGTTCTTACTGCAGTGCTGTGAGTTGTGTTTCTGTGCCTGAATTTCAATGTTAAATCGGTCTATATGTGAAACAATGTAATGCTATGGAATAGCTTTTCCTCATCGAAGAATGTTACTGTCTGAAATAATATAAAGTTGAACCTCTTTTTATACAAAATACTACAGTTATGTGTTTCTGTCGTGGTGCGTGAGGGTTACTGGGTTTAACCTTAAAGTGCCTGTGACATGCATATACTTCAAGTAGAAAAAGTAATAAAAAAAACATTTTTATACTAAAGAAAATTGCCCTAAAACACATGATTTTACTCATTTTGTCACATGACTGGCCTATTTTCTTTTGAATTTGGCTCAGCCAAAGTAAAACAGGAAGTGACATCAAAGGGGAACTCATTAATAAAATAAAATCTTTGGTCTTTGTTTATTAAAACAACATCATTTAAACTTTAACTCTTAAACTCAAAATGATGTAAAGAAACATCAGATTCTTCTCTACAGTCTGTGTTGTTAGCCTTGTAGCAACGCTCTGTTTACATGAAGACATTCCTATTTGACATCACTTCCTGTTACTTCACATGCAGAAATCTCAACAACTGTTCATCTCAGCGGCGTGAAATTTGTTTTGCATTGTTATAATGTTATCTTTCCAAAAATGCCTTCATGTTTTCTCAAAATTTGATGTCACAGGCACTTTAACTGATCAACTTAGAAGATATATAAAGAGGGTTCTTTAAGAAGCCTATTCACATTAAACAACAGGTCAGGGATTTGCTTAGCTCAAATTGTGAAAAATTTGTTCAAACCTTTTCTTTTTCCTTAGATTGGTCGCAATAGTTTAACCCTAATGAAAATCTTTAGAATGTGCAAGAGAAAACGTCACACAACAGTGCAACTTTCACATCACCATTACAAGATCTTGAATAAAAAGGGTTTCAGTTATGGACAGAAATTATTTTTTATGTTGCAAACTGTACATTTAATAAAAGAATACCTGTAAATAAACAATCTAGTTTTTTTTCTTGGCTTTCAGATTATCCCAAAACAAACCTCATATAAAGTCTACTGTTTGATCAAATTCAAGCAGGAAATGACTGAGGCTTAACTGTGAGGTTCTAACAAAATATATCAAATGCAACAAATGTTAAAACAATTAGTAGACATGTCTATTTCTCTGGTATTTGTAGGTTATGTAACTGGTACTTCAACCAAAAGGTTATGTTGTGGAAAGAACACAGAAGGAATAGAGGACCTGAAAGTTGGAAAGAGCTTTGGTTCAAAGCAGTTTGGGGATTTTAAGTGATAATAAAAAACCTTTATTTCCACTGACAATGGGAGTAAAACGGTCATCCCAGCAGCCAGAGGCAGCTGTTTATCAGTGAAACGTCCAGAGTTGTTTCCAACCAGGGGCTTAACTGAACATCTGCCTCAGTGAGGAGAGAAATGAGCCTTGTTCTCATGGAAAAACAGTTAAAAGTTTAAACTTAACATGGTGACTTTATCATCTTGTTTAATTTCTGCAGAATGAGAATATGAAGTATAAAACTGAAAAAAACAATAACAACGTTTTACGTGAGTGAAAACTCCTGCTGGCAGAAGGTTCTCTGTGAGTGGTTTTAAAAAGTGATCATTATGATATGATGTTTCACTTCTTTTGGCCCGTTTGAGCCCAAGAAAGCAGAGTCAGGAGATGAACACGGTCAGTAATACCCCTCCAAAGACAACGAACAAATAGTGGGTGGTCTTGGTCTTAAATTCATTCATAATTCAAGTTACATAGATTTTACCCATGCACTTCTTTTAAAGTACAGTTTGGGAATCAAACAAACTAATATTTGCTGAATGTAGCAAAGATGATTTAAATGTGAAAAACTGCTAAACAAATGTCTTCTTCACTGTCTAATTATGTAGTTAGACAGTTTTGTTTTAGTTATGTTTTGTGACCAAACTAATGCTTTTTTGTTTTAATTTAAGATGAGGAAAAACTATGTTCATTTTTATGCAATGTTATTCATATACTATACTAAACTAACTATAAAATGCTGAAAAGTTGCCAAGCATGTACACAATCTCTAAAGCAAAAAACATCAACACTTAAATTTGTAAAACTGTTTTTTTAAAACAACACTGAAAATAAAACAGGTAGATTTGCAATTATTAAAGATACTTTATTTTGAAATTGTGCAAACAGTACAGAATATATCCTACACATGTGTAAAAAAATAACAATACAGCCAAGACAGGTATCAAAAAAATTTTTTTTACTTGTTTCAATTAACATTTTACAAAAGTAGGATTTAAAAACGAATGATAGTATTTACAGTTTCAGTAATTTTACAAAACCTTTTGTATTTTCTATTTTTTTAAAAATCCCTTAAGATTTCAAAAGCATAGCATAGCAATAGGAGTGAGGTAGAATAAATAGATTGAAAGTTAAAATATACTTTAAGGCACATGTTTGCAGTTTAAAAATTGGCTTTTACACTGAGCACAAATAAAATGATCGAATCTCAAAGAAAATGAACAAATGGGGCAAAAAAGAGCTGCATTTATAGATATACAAATATGTTAATGGTTCTTTTGGATCATAACTGGACAGGCTAATCCTACAAAAACATTTTTCATTAATACTTCTCACGTAATAAGACTATTTTCTGTTATATAACTCTGAAAAATTAAAAGTTTTAAAGCAAGACAGATGGATAAAATAATTATGCAAAAGACATTTTTGATTAGAAATTCTGAAAAGTGGAGTTTTTTTAGTGTCTTCTCAGATCAGTGCTTCAAAAGCTCTTGGAAAATTGATGCAACACAAGTAGACTTGATGCATGTTTATTATTACTTTGTGCCTTAGAGACCCCAACAACTAAGGGGCAGTTTTCTAGTTTTATTCATTTTTTTACTTATTTTTCATCTGTCTTGCTTTATCTTGATCAGATTACTATCAAACTTCAATTGTAAGCATTAAATTTTAATAACTCAGGCGTCAGGGTTGGAAAACTAACAAAACTCAACACATTCAATTGTCTTAGGTGGGAGGGGAAAGGGGTAATAATGCATTCGTATTTACAAAATTAGGACAAAAAAATTACTAAAAAATGAAAAATTTGAAAAGCAGAATATAGAAATAAAATCGATAAAACAAAACTTTACAGTTCGTTTCAAAAAGCACCCACTCTGTGATCCTACCATCGTTCTCTGATCCAATTTTTACAAACTCCCCCTCCCAACAATACTTTCACACCCCTTTCTTCCTACTTTTGTGTCTGTGCCACAGGCTCCATCAACACCTCCACTCATAAATTCAGTATTTTTATTTGTTAACATTATGAGGACTTGGAAAACAAATATCTGTGGCTCACAGAGAGGTGGTTGGGTTCCCACTGTGAACTCTAAAATGGGGTGTCTAGAGAATTTTAATGAATGTTAATAGCTATAGCTTTCCCACCATGATTGTCTGAAAAGCAATAATCATAATAAATAGGTACAAAATCTAATAAAGTTTCAGAAGTTGTTTGACTTTTGAACTTATTTCAAACGGTTGGGGAACTTTTGAGCTTAATGTTCAACAGCAGAACACAACTATTGTATAAACCAGTCCATTAAAAATGGCTCTTTTTTCCCCCTAAAACATAAAATTAATATGTTGTATTGTAACATTAAAACAAACAAAATATTATACAATCTGTACAAAACGATTAAACACAGTGTGATCAGTATACATTCTTGTGTATAACAAACAACATATATTTGTAATAAAAACATTTTTGTAAACATAATTGTTTCTAACTAAAGCTTCCAGCGCCACCTGTTCAGTTCATCAAAAAAATACAAAACCATTCCGTATTCACAGATAATGCATGTTTATGAAAAGAGAAGTTAAAAAAGTATTAAACTATCGACCGATTGAGCAATGAAAATTTTTTGAGACTATTGTTTAATGATTAAGAGTGTCTGTCAGTTTTCTAAGACTCCATTGAGACAGAGTCAAACAGATACAGTATGATGTCCAACCTGTGTGCACCATCGCTTCCTCCTCACCACCAGCTGAAAGGAATCTGTTCTTCTTCAGTCTCATCATATCTTCACAGCAAAGAGTCGGAAGGAGCCTCCATCTGTGTTGCTTTTGCTATAAATCGACATAAAGAAAGTCTTAACTCCAGCCTTACAAAAAATGACCACAATCTAGAACATAAACTGAAAGGAAGTTCCACCACTTCAGTATTTGACTTTAATGGGTTTTCAGAGAGTGACGCAGTTTTCCATTATTCTGGTGGAAACTGCAGAATGTGATGGTTTCATGTCTGACAGCTTCCAAGTGGTTTTGCTGCACAACAGTCCATTTCGTTCACTCATTGTCCCATTTACCTCCTCCTTGAAGTTGAACTAAAATTTCCACACATGCAGAGAAATCCTGTTTCTCTTGACATTACCCAGACATCCTTGTAAGCCTTGACTTGTGTAGAGAAGCTCATTTCCCCTATCACTCCAAAAAAAAACCCTTTGTGTGTTTGTGATTCATTTTACAGAACTTTGATTGGAGTGAAAGMTCAGATCAGGTTACTCACTGTTTGGGTACACACCAGAGGTGGGGACACGAGACACATGACTCTAGACATTAATTTTATGACTTTAGACTTGACTTGAAAAAATGTTCGGAGACATGTGACTTGACTTGGACTTTTACACTAATGACTTGGGACTTGAATTGGACTTGAACCTTTTTACTTGAAAATACTTGATATTTTACCCAAAATCTAAAGTTTAAAACACATTATTTATAAAACAGGCGCCATTAATTAATCTCACTTATTCTGTATTACCAAAGGCAGACCCCAGACCCTCTTTTTTCCCCCACTCTGTACATATGTGTACATGAGCTGATGCACAGCACATCAAAATCAACCAGATTTAAAAAAATGGAAAATTATAGTTTTAGGAAAGATTTTTTGCAGCTAAGTTTATTTGAACTTTACATTTTAGAGGTGCAATTTTTTAAATATTTTTTTAAATACTTAATAAGTTCAGCAGCAAGTTGAGATGATTCTTTTTTTTAAAGAGCACAGAGTATTATTTACATTTCACATATAACGGCAACATTGTTTTAAAAAAGACTCGAAAGTTTCAGACTTGAGACCTGACATTTGCTTGTCTTGACTTGAGACTTGACTCAGGACATGAGGATAAAGACATGGAACTTTTAAAACAATGACTACCTCTGGTACACACCCTTTGCTCTTAATTGAATCCACAGAACAAAGCTTTTTGAAAAAGCTCATTCTCAGATATGGTAAAAAGTTGCTGTTAGCAAAGATAAAATGAAAACAGATGTGTCAGATGAAATAAAAAGAAATCACATCTTATTTGAGTTGATAACGTTGTATGCTTTTAAAGTTTGCAGCCCCAGTATTATTACTGATCATCAAGATGTTTTTCTAAATCAGAGAAGTGATGTTTTTGCATTTAGAACAATGATAATGTTTCAAACAACCATAAGTCTTTGCTGCAACACTGATCAAAACTAGAAAGGCAACAATAAAACTAAACTAAGATAATAATTTTATGGCTCAAGAACTTTAGTGACATACTTCAGTCCTCAAACAGCTTATATCACACGGACAGAGTCTCTTTCAATCACTTTAGCAAAAACATCTGAATAAAGCTGGGAGGAACATCAATAAAAATAAGATCAATATCTAAATGATTGATGTAGTTTTTCAAAAAAAATAGCTCCTTTTGTCTCAAAAGGGTTTTAGGTATTAAAAAAATAGAACTTTTACTTTTTTCTCTCTTTGTCCAGAAGATAAATGAACCAAAAGAAATTAATCTAAAGAGTCAATATTTTAGGAATATGTTTGCAGAATGACTCACTGCTCCAGTATTTCTGTGTCTGCCTTTTCCAGAGACCACACGTGCTTGGCTTAATGATTTTAATTAGTTCATTAGCGGACCGACCTTGAAGCAAAGCCACGATCAATAATCGTGACAGGCCGATACGATCGGTGTCCTATCACAGATAATTGTTCGTGTAGGAAAGCTGACAAATTGACGGACAGCATTTCCATCTGGGAGTAATGAGATAGGCTGTCATTATATCCTTAGCAACGAAGTGCGATCCAAACTGCCCACACTGGCACGATGTTGGCACAAAGAACCAAGGCTCCTTCAGCCACTTGCTGACCTCCTGTTCCAGTGCCCTGAGTAGGGCCTTCACTGCTTTGCGTTGGGTTTCCTCGAATCAAACCTGGGTTGTTATTAGCCGTTCAGCACTTTGCACACTCGATTGAAATGCGTGGGTAAAATAAGCAAAGATCCCGTGTGTGGCCCATTCACACACCAAACCACACCATTACTCTTACACGCCCATATGCCAACGAGACCGGCCACAAAGTGTTTCTTTGCCTGAGCTTAGTTCACCCACCGTGCTCAGCCACAGACATGAGGGTGATTTGTGAAACATTGTGTGCATGCAGAAAACCCACCAAATGCACTGTAACCGTAAACATAAAACAAGACGCTATATAATAAAAGTGGTTTTCTTTTATATTTGAAATACCTGTCAAATGGAATTGATTTGAGCTATGCCAAAATAGGTTTTCTACTTTAAATGACTTCATGTGCCTGTGACACGCATGTCCTTCAAATACAAAAAGTAAAAAAAACATCTTTACATTTAAGAAACTTGGCATAACACACGTAATTTTGCCCATTTTGTCACACAACTGCATATTATCTTTTGAATTTGGCTCAGCCAGAGTGAAACAGGAAGTGACATCAAAGGGGAACTCTCTGGTCTTTGTTTATTTGTGTTCGATTATTTATTTGTCGTTGGCCATTTGAGCATCGCTCTGTTCACATTCACTCATTCTCATTTGTTATCACTTCCTGGTTCAGCACGTGCAAATATTTCAACAACTGTTCATCTCAGCAGTGTGAATTTATATTTTTGCAATATGCTATCAATGATATCTTTCCAAAATTGCATTCGTATTTACTACACAAATTTGACGTTGAGGGCACTTTAAGATGACAACAACTTGTTTTAAAAAGTTGCTGCTCTTTTTAACAGTAGAGTAAGAAAATTGGGCAGCTGAAAAGACTACTGTATATTTTTATGTGTAATTTAAAATTATTGTAAAAAAAATGCATTGTTGCAATTTCTGAACATCAAATTTTTGCGCTTTTATTTTCCGTACCCATTTTTTCCCTCTTCTGGTTTGAAAAAAAAAATGAAGTTTGTGGGTCAATCTGAAATGAACTTTAAATTTGTGCAACCAATTAGGTTTGAGGAGGTCTAATCCTTTTATAGCACCGTGTTTTTTGTCCACAATATTCCCTCAGATTTCACAGCTAACAATTAAAAGTTTCACAGCTGCCAAACACATGGGATCCTGAGTGTTGTCACACACCTTGTGTGGACATGCATTTACACACTACACTACACTACACTACACTACACTACACTACACTACACTACACTACACTAAACTACAAGCAATGAGTCCATGGAGTCAAATGCAGCCTAAAATTATCCATGTCTGGAATTCACAACAGAATTTACAACTACATGATGTCTGATCTATGTACCATTGCAATAATTTATAAACGAGCTACACTTCTTAATGAATAACTACACTGTACAGGGATCATACCTTTCAGATTGGATGTCATTTTTCAGAACTCCAGTGTAGCTTTTTCTCCTTTCTAGTGGCAGAACATCAACAAAACCACCATCTGTTTTAATTACCCCGGCATGGATGGCTGCTTTACAGATGCTGGAGCTCTGTGAAGACAAACAGTGAACAATATTTACAGGTTTAACTATATTTTTACTACATAAACATTATCTTAATATTAAACAGAATATAATATATTTCACTTACAAAGAGACATGTTTCTAACACACATACACACACACACAGGCACTGAGAGACACACAAATGGAGGAGAGTCTGCGCCAGAAATCTGGCTCCAACATAACAAACCATGAGCTCTTATCAACAGAGCAGAATCATTCGTTTTCCAAACTAAACATGGATCACACTGTACGCTCCACCAGCGGTTCTAACCAGATGTTTTATATCTCATGTTTAACCAACATTTAGCCTCCGCACCACTGGAGAAATAAATGTGGGTGCCTGAGACTGTAAATCATTCCCTGGCACTTTTAGTATGAGTTGGTGGGCCTTCTTTGGGGTCTCTTTGGCACAGTGATTTTTGTCCACACGGACATCATCAAGTAAAAGTTTGACCCAGGGTTCAACACCACCTTGACCTTTGTGTGACTGTGCAGATTTGCAACATTTCACAAATGAGCTGATGGGAACTAAATATAATGAGATTAGTCTAAGGAGAACTAATCCACTATAACAATGATAAATATGACTTTTTAGTGTTGATCTAAACCACTCACCCTTTCTCTGCCTCTTTCCTCTGAGGTAGATGAGGAACTACAACCTGGTAATTCAGAAGAACACACACTGCAGCGAAAATCATTCATGTTCTGAGCTAGCCTCACAAAAATATTAGTGCTGCTTTTTATGTAAAGTTAAGGGATGCAGCATTTTTGGTGACAGACTATTAGTTAGTTTTAATAATTGTCTTTCGACTTTTTTATTTTACATGTCATTTTTTTACAAGTTTAGCAAGTTTTTATTTTGGCTTCTGCTCACTTTGATGTTAAACTGAACTTCCTTTATTGTATATGAAATATTTCCTCACTATTTTTTATAGTAAAATCTTATTTATGTATTTTTGTTTGAGATTTGGTAAAGATGACACAATTTTGCATCTAAAGGCCTTTTGTTGTTCCAGAACAATAGATAATTCAGTTTTTTCATCACTAATAAAAAATAGATCCAGTGAACTTTCAGTGTAATTCCTCTTTTAAATGTGTATAAATACTCACGTCTGCATAGATGTTGTTTCCAACTACAGGTGACCAATATGAAGGCTGACTGTTACAGTTGGCTGGGCAGGAAATTCTGAAAAATGTAACAAAAGTCAAGAGTTATACATCATTATTATTGCTTTTTTTTAGCTGATACTTATAGACTCATTACTTGAAATTAGGAGCCAAGAAATAATTACATATATTGTTTGTATTCCCACATGAGTACATGTGTTTATTTATGTGTAATTGCCATTTTTAATTATTTATTGATTTGAGGATTTATAAAAACACAACAGGAGGATAGCATTTTTAATAGGACTAAAGAATAAACATATGGTTGACTGTGTGAAGGCACCTTGGACAGTGTGAAGAGGGTCTTTTGAAAGGGCAGATTTCAGCAACTGTGGTGTAACAATCAGCAGTATATTCTGTCACACAAATAGAAAAAGAAAAACACTTAAATACTTGCGTAGATTCTGTTCCTGAATGTGTGAAACTAAATGAAATAATAAGAGTTCTTAAAAAAATAAGAAATAAAGTAGTGATTTTCTTACCTTGTACTTTGGCCAACACAAAGGAGTTTCCAGGTTTATATTTACTGTAAGGACAAGTTTATAAAAACAAGTCAAATAATTGATAATTTGCWAATCCACATTTGTTTGTTAAGATACAAATGAGCATCATACTTCTTGTTGTGAAAAAAAATCTGTTTTTCTGCCCATTGATCCTGCTCTAGCTCTGCGGCAGGACTTCTTTTGTAATGCGTTTTGTGTGCAGTATGTTGATGGTGTTACTGTACAATCAATTCTGACTGCTGATCTATTTTGTTTACTATCTAACAAAGACATAAGTCTTAAATTATACATACCTCAAAGACTCAATTCCATTCTTTGTGGATCTGACAAAGAATGGAGACCTGTCTGTTCTTGTGACGTCAACCAGGCCCCCGTTGTTGTCAATAATCCCAGCGTGGATAGCAGCTCGGCAAACACTTGATTGCTATGACAAAAAGAAAATGAACTAAGTATGCAATAGTCAATAATCTTATTATAAGTTGCKGTATGATGAAAGATGTTTGTGTAGATTCTCAATCATCCAAGGCATGGCAAATCTTAAGCTTTTTTTTAATGAGGGCTCCAAGAATAATGACAAAACGTATTTGTTTTTCTTTTAGGTAGACTCACCGCATCATAAACACCACTTCCCCAAACTTTTGCTTTCTTRTTCAGACAATTCGCAGGACATCTGTGTCTGCAGAGGAAGAAAGCCAGGTATAAGCAGARAGGAAATATGGGCTAAATAAACAAATAAATCAAGATTTTGCACAAAAATTCATCACAACAGCCTTACCTGTTGCAGGTAACCCCTTTGCACTTATCTCTCAGTCTGGTCTCACACTTAATGTTGTGAGCTGGAAGAATACGACACRAAGTTAATATTAGGAACAAAATATTGAGAGCTTGATTTTTTGTGTTCCTGTGATTACCAAGATAGGGGTTGCTTGGAGTTTTTGCAGGTGATGTCCTGGGTACAGCAGGTCGTGTTGTGGAGGGTTTGGGCACAGGTTTCCTGGGAGTTTTGGGAACTGGTCTGGAGGTGGTACGAGGTGAGAGTGGTACTTGAGGCTTCTCCACCTCATTCATGTCCTCCGTCTCTGAGCGCTGAGAGTCTGTAARTGCACCAACATGTAGAATTCACTCTGGTGCATTCACAAATTTAATTTTGTAGGACCTTTTTGTCACTCTGAAACATTTGATTTATCTTGTGTCTTCTTAAGGTCACCATTGCAAAAGGCCTAAAAGCCACAAAATGGTCAAAAATGCTGGACTTCAAACCTCTTACTCATTACTTTCCAGGAGTGTACCAAACCAGACACTTGGCAGTCATTCTGTATGTGTTGCACAATGTAGGCTAGTAAGGAAAGAATGCCTGGTTTACAAACAAGATGTCTCAGCTAGATGAAGAGCAGCAGCAACTGTGAGAAAGATTGCTAAAAGCTTGAAAAGAGGCAAGTGTTCTTCCTTTCATGGCTCTTGAAGATGTTCGGCCTTTTATCTGTAAGGMTTCTTTAGTTCAACAAGAGGGTGTTTTCAGACTTGAAAGTTGAAGAGGCTTGAAGTCATTTAAGTCGTTTTCGCAAATCTCCTTTCAAATCACAGACAATGTTTTTGTCATGCTCCTTAAAGGGCCACTATTATGTGTTTCTCAGGTATATATTTAAATACTATACCATAATAAAGWATCTATGGACCATCCAGCAAAAGGACCATCCAGCAGTGTGATGCTTAAGACGAGAGGAGGGGACCAAGCTAATAAGGTAAGCTAATGTTAGCTTGTTGTTGTTTTGTAACTTGCTACTGTTGTTGTTTAGTTAAACTTGTGTGACTAAAATGTAGTCAGTGCAAACGACTCATGTAAGGCTACTCTTGTCTGTGAAACATAACCTCCTCAGTTAGAGACTCAATCAATGAGCAACAGTAAATATGGGCCATGAACCACGGGTCTCAGGGTTCCAGAAATCAAGGTGGAACGTGGGCCATAAGGGCTAACACAAACATGTTGAACCCAGGTTTGAAGCCATGCTGGCCCAGGTCTTGCAGTGCAAAAAGTGTGATTGTGGGTGTGTAGTAGGGGGAAGAATGCACAGTACCCTTCTTTAACCAATGGTGTTTTTGTTAATAAGTTCAAGACTACTGGTTTGACAACAGCAGTTTCACAAAAGTTATTCATTTTTTTTCCAAAAGCATTTWACAATATGCCATAAAGTAAAGCTCCTGTTGAAGCTACTACTGGTCTTTCATAAATGTACCAATTTGGCCAGTCTGGCGTCAGGTTGGGCAATATTGTCAAAAAAAATTAATTGTGATTAATTGTGATATTTAGCTGATAACGATTAATTTAATGATTAATCCCCTGGAGTCCCTGACCACCCTTATGTCCTAGTCACATGACCAATTTAGTGGGAAAGATTTGCTCTTCGTAAAAATCTGTTCCAAATCGTGTCAGAATTACAGACTTCAGACTATACATCAAATTTTTTATTGTGTTGATAGATAAATAAATTACATAAGTTTTTTTGTGTTTGTCATATTTGAAGCAGAAAGGAGCACTGAGTGGACTGACTGGAGAAATCTCCAGTTAGTTTGCCTGGTGGCATTAATCGTATTAATTGTCAAGTGCCAAAAAATAATCAATTAATGTTTTTCTGATGATTAATTGCACACGATACGATTATGCCCAACCCTAGTCTGGCATCATTGTGAAATTACACATAGAAGCTGGCGTTGCAGAATCAAGGAGGCATATGTTCACTCAACACTGTTAATGTMGAGAACTTAGAGCATATGATTCTGTGTTTATGAGTAAACATAGGATCAGAGCATCTTTTTTAACTCACCTATCCTATTGTGTTTTTTTTCCAAACTGCAAAAGGTAGGGCAACCATGTTTGCGCAAGACCCGATCATCTGTTCACCCCCATGTTTGCTATGTGTGTCTTTCTCCTGAACGGAGTGTTCTTAACTTCAATTTCGTTCTGCATTGCATCTTTGATGTTGTGTGAATGACAATAAAGCTTTTTTTAAAGTTTCTGATTCTTCTGGTATCTCCTCTTCTAAATCCTGTGGCCAGCAAGCTACACAGACTGTCATCCCACCATCAAGTCGTGATGCTAGGTTACAAGCATTTCAGTGCTGTCACTACATTCTTTGGTGGTTCAGAGGAAAAATAGTAGCATGTTGACTTCAACCCTCCATGCCACCATGTTCATACAGTAAATCAGGCYTGGCTTAAACATGTTTTGTGATAAGGTCTGTTGAAATCACACTAGAGTTATCCATTCAACAGCTCACAAGCTTGAAACTACCCACCAGATCTGAAGAAGGCATTATGTTAACAGGTGAAATGGCATCAAGAATAAAAAAAATAAAATCCTGTTTTCTGTAAACTTAAGCACTAAAGCATGACTTTTAGGCACACAATGACTGAGAAGTTACACTTTAGCCCACTTTGATGTGGACTTGGTGCTTTGTAACTTGACAAATCATTGTGCTCAAATGGCTACTTAAAAACTAATTAATGAAACTTTAATAGGTTSTCACACTCACCTTTGTAGCACAAGTTGTTTCTGCATCCTCCTCCATAGCTGGGAGGACATTGGGAACAAGGTCGGCCATGTTTATATGGGGCCTCTCCAATCCAGTTTCCTCTGCACAGATGGTAAACAATACACAGCTTGACTAAATGCAAAGCAAATTAGTTTAGATCATGGCCTTATTACTGCAGAAAACYGTCTCACTCAGCATTCTTAAAMGTTTTCAGTCAAACAAAATCATGAAAATACTTTTCATTGTTCCCTCATGGGTTATTTTAATAGCAACAATATGTCAAAATGTCTAAAGTAACCAGAGCGACATACTGTATTTGCAGCACAACTATGTGAGATTTACTGGTCTTCTAAGAAAGGAGGAATAGGATCGGGGTGTTAATGTACAGCTAAATTTAGAAGAATATTGATCTTACTTTGGGGAGTAGTTGCACACAAGGTACACAGCGTTCTCCCAGATTTCTCCCCACACGTTCATCGCTGGACACACGTGCACAGCACAGCCCACTCGGCTGGTGGTTGCCCAGACCAGCTTCAATGAGGAAAAGTAAATAAATGGTCAAAATTAGTTAACACTTAAACACACACAGAAAAGTAAACTGCAAAACACGTGTCCTAACCTTCTTGTCTTATAAGCTTAAGCTTAAATAAATAATRGCTTGCTTAGGTCACAAACTGGGAAAAGTGTGAGGAAATAGTTGCTGCAGTAGAGTTACAGACAAATTAGGTGTCATTTGATGAAAAATGCAGCATGTTCCAGAAACCCCCCGACATCTTCCTCCCAAACATGTGCTCTCCCTCCTCAGGAATGTTCATCTTTTTTTATTGTATTCTTAAGGGCCTTTGGAGATACTGAGCCAGCACATAGACTGACATATATCCAGCAAATCCAGCAAAGGTTGCATTGAAGTGACTGCTCAGACTGCAGTACATCAAAGAAATATAAGACAGAAACATGTTGAGGATGACCCCCTGTCAGCATCTTCAAAGGACTCCAGGTGAAGCAGTACAGGATGTCTGCTGTGCCTGACTGCCAGATGAGAGTGATCAGGTTTCAGTGTGGGCAAAATGTGATTTTTTTTTCTTTTCTTTTCTTTTCTTTTTTGGATAGAATTATTCCAGCAGCTTCTAAGCAAAGTCTTAGGGAAGAGAATGCCAGCTTTCTTACTTTTCCCCCTCGTTCACACTTTTCTCTTTTTATTTCTGTATTATCTTTCTGACAAATCTTTAGTGAGAGAATTTGCATTTCCTGTAAAAATGTAGTATGAATCCTTAAGGAAAAATTCTTGCTGAATAGCTAAAAAAGCTTAAACTAGCCTAAAAATAGCTATATCTATATATATATATTTGAAATAGCTGAAATTGGCACAAAGAAACAGAAAGAGCATGTGTTTGTTGGTGGTAAGATAGAGGTAAGATAAAAGTGGTAGGAAGCTGAAATGATCACAAAAAGAGAAATCTAGCTGCAGAAAAAARCTCAACTCAGCTAAATAGAAGCCAAAGGAAGCTGAAATTTGTGCAAAGGAGCTAAAAAAGCAGAACCAGAACAAAGGTAAAGAGTGCAGTAAAGATTTATGCACATTTTGAAGGTTTTAAAGATGTACAGCTCCATTCATTTTCTATGAGAAAAACATGGCAGTAAATCTAAAAATCCCAAAAAGTGTAAATTACTTGTGAATTATGTTATGTGCCAAAAAACATATGGAAGAAAAAATGATWATGTCAGCTTTATAAAAGCACTACAAGACAGTTCATCACTCAGTTGTCCTACCTGTGTGTAGTGGGTACACATGGGCCCGGAGCAGCGTTCTGGGCACCACGGGTTGCACTCGTGAGCGTAGGGATAGGTGTAATCTTTCACTTCATCATACCAGGCCTGGACATGGAAGGCAGGTGAGCGGTATCTGCAGGGTCGGTGCATTCACACACACACACACACACACACACACACAC